GAGAAAAGGAGGCTCAGGGGGGGATATTGTGGCTCTCTGGAATTCCCTGGCAGGAGGGGGGATCCCAAGGATCTTCTCCCACAGGAGGAGAGGGAACGGCCCCAAGCTGTGCCAGGGGAGGGTCAGGTTGGGAATCAGCGGGAATTTCCCCATGGAAAGGGTGGTCAGGCCTTGGCAGGGGCTGCCCAGGGAGGTGGGGGAGTCCCCACCCCTGGAGGTGCCCAAGGACTGAGTGGCACTGAGTGACAAGGTGGGGACGGGGCACAGGGTGGGCTGGATGGGCTTGGAGGGCTTTCCCAACCTCAGGGACCCACCTCAGCCTCCAGGTACGAGACCCTCTCCTTCAGCTCCTGGATGGTGGAATCCTTGTCCTGAATCACCGCCTTGGAGTTCTGGAGCTGCAAGAGGCAAGCCCAGAACAGCTTGGGAACCCCCTTCCCAAAAAAAAAAGCGCCCAGGGAGCTTTTTTTTGGGGGTGCCTTCCCACCCCTGCAGCCCCTCACCCACCTGCTCGATCATCTGCCGGACTTTGCGCTGCTGGCTCTTCAGCATGTCATCCAGGTGATGGATCTTCTCCCTCAGCATGGCCACCTCCTTCTCCAGCTGGGCCACCCTGGGAGAGCACAGGGGACACCATCCAGGAGCCACCCCAAAAAAAGGAACACACCCCCCTCCCCCCCAACACCCCAAAACGCAGCCCCTGCTCTCCTCTCTCCTTCCTCGGGAATTTTTTTTGGGGGGGGGGGGGGCAAGGAGAGGGGAGAGAGAGAGAGACACAAACCCCTATCCCAGCAGGAGCCACAAAGCCTGGAAACCACAGGAACAGCAGGAAGAGCTGATTAAACAAACCCCAATCCCCCCCCCGGGGGGCTCCAAACCTGGGCTGGGATCTCCCAGCAGGACTCCAGGAGGGTTTGTTGGGGTTTTTTTTATTTTTTGGGGGGGGGATGAATCAGCTGTGGGGGAGCAGGGAAGGGTGTTTTGCAAGGCAAGGCGGGGCCAGCACGCCCTGCCCTGCCCAGGAATGTGCAGTCAGTCAGTCGTGCCCCGGCAAGGAGCGGTGACATCCGTGGGCCGGCTCCGGCTCCGGAGCCTGGCGGGATTCCCGGGAGAAATAGAGAGGGATGAGGAGCTGGCAGAGCGCCAGGGGGGGCCTCGGGGCCTCACCGGTCCTGCTGGGCGAGCTTGTCCCCTTCCACGCTCCGCAGCCGCGCCAGCTCGGCCTCGCCGGCTTTCATCTCCACCACCAGAGCCCGGTGCTCCTGAGGAGGGAGGGGAGAGCGGGGTGGGAGTTATCCCCCACGGAAAATAATGGGATAGGTGCTTCCCCTGGGCTTCCCGACCTCTGATCATCAAATATCAACAACTTCTGACCGCCCAATCCCACCTCTGGTCACCAAATCCCACCTCTGATCATCAAATCCCACCTTTGATCATCCAATCCCACCTCTGATCATCAAATTCCACCTCTGATCATCAAATTCCACCTCTGATCATCAAATACCAACCTGTGATCATCAAATACCAAACTCTGACCGTCCAATCCCACCTCTGATCATGATCCCACCTCTGATCATCCAATCCCACCTCTGATCATCCAATTCCACTTCTGATCATCAAACTCCACTCTCTGATCACCCAATCCCACCTCTGATCACCCAATCCCACCTTTGATCATCCAATCCCACCTCTGACCACCCAATCCCACCCTCTGACCACCCAATCCCACCCTCTGACCACCCAATCCCACCTCTGATCACCCAATCCCACCTTTGAACATCAAATCCCAGCTCTGACCACCCAATCCCACCCTCTGACCACCCAATCCCACCTCTGATCACCCAAGAATCTTTCCCTAAAGCCCAACCTAACCCTCCCCTGCCCCATCTGCAGCCCTTCCCTCAGGTTCTGTCACAGGAGGAGAGCTCAGCTCATCCCCCACCGTCCCGTTTAGGACTTTAATCTTAAAAATGAACTAAAAAAAAACCCCACAACACCCCACAATAATAAGATCCCTCGCTGCAGGTTGTGGGAAATGCCCCACGAGCAGAACTGTCTAGACAGCGCTGCCACTTCCAGGAGACCTGGAAGAGCCTGCATGGACCAACCAGCTCTTCTAGGCCTGGGGAAAAAGGCCCCTTCCAATCACACCGGTGGATTCCCAGCAGGTGGATATCGGGTTAGACCTGGTTTGGGAAGCCAAACCCCCGCTGGGGGGTGAGATTTTGGTTCCCAGGCCCAGCTCTGCTAATCCTGACCCCTTTTCCTTATCCCCTGGAGGCTGCTGGTACCTTTTCCAGCCCGGCCAGGCTTCTCTGCAGCTCATCCACCTGCAGCTCCTTCTGCTGCGCGTTCCTCTCGGCTCTCCGGAGGGCAGAGCTCGTCCTCTCCGCGTCCTCCTGGTACTGGGCCACCGTCCTCTGGGGGAGGAGATGATGGGAAAGGCTCGACACATCCCCCAAACCCCCTGGGGTGCTCCCAGGGGGGTTTTTGGTGAAGGTGTCTGGGGGTGTCTCCAATGCCCCGAGACGGGGAGGTCCCTCAGGAGGTTCCCCCGGTTTCAAAACACTTCCGAGGGTGAGGGAGAAGCTCCCCAGAAAAAGCCCCCCAGAGGAGGGAGACACAGAGGTGCTGAGCTCCAGGGGGACCCAGGGGACAAGGATGGGGTGACCAGTCCAGGGGGACCCAGGGGACAAGGATGGAGTGACCAACACAAGGGGTGGCCCAGGGGACAAGGATGGGGTGACCAGTCCTGGGGGTGACCCAGGGGACAAGGATGGGGTGACAAGTCCAGGGAGTGACCCAGGGGACAGGGATGGGGTGACCAACACAAGGGGTGAC